ATCGATCGACCGATCGATCGATCGATCGATCGCGATCTCTCTCTCTCTTTCTCTCACACACACACGCACACACAACACACACACAGTTCCAGAAGCCTGAAAAGCTAATACTCGGGACGTCGCTAATACACGCGTTAATGGCGTGGCACGATCGAAGCTGAAGGCCCACGTTGTGCTTTTTCTTAATTCAATCTGCCTCGCGTTGTATTCGTCGGAGTGGAAGGTTTCGTGTTCAGGTTGCTATTACAGGAGCCGCGCCTCGTTCTGGAAACAAACTCTGGCAGGCAAGAATTGAAAGATCTTCTTACTTATTAATTACTAAATTGTATGATTTCGACAACGTTACATGTTATATGTCGAAGTAACGATAATTCGAAATATTTCTGAAGAAATATATACGCCCATATTTCTGTCACGTTCGTTTACGAAAGTCTGTTTCCTGCGTCGAGGCAACGACTGCGGGATTCTTAGTCTTTCACAAAATTCACTAATAACAGATTCATGCAAGTGTCATGCAATGTGTTTGCTGCACGGCGACGCGAAAGTCGCGGGACAGAGGAAATAAGACGAGATCGTAACGTGGACGATAACACGCAATTTCAATATCGAGATGCAAAGTTTTTTCATCCAGAAAACGCGTCGGTAATGTTTCCTCTGTCGTAACTTTCCAACACACTGTTGCTGAAAGTGTTACAATTCATGCACTCGAATTCGCTCCTTTCTACGAGTGGAATACACTCCTGCTAGATACGTGGTTGCAAAACACACTAGTACTACCGTGGTACATCCCGCGTGCGCGCGTGCCTTTTAACTATCGAGCTTCTTAACTGTCGTGTAGCTAGATACCAAATTTCAAATGATTGCTTGCTTTCGATTCCTTTTTTTTTGCAATAAAATCCGTTCGAACGTTATTAAAAATCTACTGCTGGACAGGGGGAGAACAATTGAAAATTGAAAAGAAAAAAAGCACACGCACGCGGGTCAAACAACTCGAGGAGAACGTAGAACTCGAAAATGTTGGCTGTCGATGCTGGCCGGTTGCACTCGTTGCTTTCTCGTGACGTTGCCGACGGGTGGACATGCCGAAACCATGCGCGGCCTGACCGTAGTTCTACTTTAAGCTCCGTGTATCACGAACCATTCTTGTTTCGCTGTCTTTTGTGGTGCATGAGGCGCGAAACACCGGTGTTTTGGAAAGAAATGGGCAAACGTGTACGAATCGTTAGTGACGAGGAACAGTGAAACGAACAACGTTTACGACAAGAAACAGAGAGCGAAAGTGCTGCACGATTCGTTTTGTTCGTAATCTAAGTTCGAAATAATTCGTTCGATCAAACAATGATCAGAAAAAGTGCGTGCATAGATATCGAATGTCGTGTGTTTTTAATTAAATCACGTTCGAGAAAGTGCGATTAGATTCGTTAGAATGGAAACTAACGTACAGATTTAAAGTCGAAATCTTCTAAAATCTTCAAGACGTTCTCGTAATGAATTAAGTTATTTACAAAGTTGCTTTCCAACGTTCGAATAATTTGTTGCGCGACTGTTTGGTATTGTTAAAAGCACAAACTAGATTCTTAGTATCAAACGTGTATCAAATATCTCTGCTACATATTTGAATGTAGTAATATCGATTCGAGTGGCAATTTTGGTATATAATGAGTTAATACGAAAGTTCTCCAACAGTTCGATCTCTATGCATCAGAAAATGAACATCGCGTTTCTCTTTCTCTCTGCGTCTCGATTATCTTTTCGTCACTTGAAGATTTTCCTTGGAGAAGGTCCGTCACTCCCAGTGTGCAACATATATACACACAATGGGAAAGCGGTAAACGTGTGAGGTAATACACAACTAGAACACACACATGAACTCCTAGATCTTGCAATGATCGAATAACGTTGCAAACAATACACATATCTACGTTACGAATTTCCAGGAGCCACGTTCGCTTAGAAACACGACAAGACTAGTGAAGACTTTGAGAATGAGAAAACATCGAAATGTAATGGCGAACGAATTGTTCTTGTCAAGAACTTGAAACATGAGAACTAGAAAACTTTATGCTTATAACTTTGCAACGATCAATGGCCATGAGAGAAAGAAAGAAAGAACAGAAAATAGTATTATCAATCGTAAGATGCAGCGACATCGCAAGGAAAAAAGACAACGAAAAACAATAGGTTAACAGAATACATGCAGCAGAACTTCGTCAAAAAGAAATTGTCCATCGTGCTGAACAAAATAAAAACATCATCGCTATACCGCGACTCAAAGAACGCTGAATTCTAAATTTTTACTCGCTTCAAGCGCAATTTTCTGGCAGTACGAACTCAATTTATCATTTTCGGTTTGAAACTTCTATCGCGGACAAACTTAGAAAGAACTACTGTAACAATTCATCCGGTTATATACTATAATTCGAGAAGAGTCGACTATTTTTAAAACACCTGCCACCTTCGAACAGGATAATAATTTCAATTCGAAGCGAATTAAAATTCTTTCTTCGCTCATCAAATATTCATTGCAGATTCATTGCACTCTGGTGTTGGTAACATTTTGGAGGAACTGTTGAATCGAATGGAAGGGCGTTAATCGTGAGGGTAAAATCGTGAGAGTGACAGAAAATCGGATGATCTACACAGAACACGGTCGAGACTTCTCGCTACCGTTTATGCCGAAGAAAGAATCGGGACGAGCGATGACTGAGAAACACACAGTAAAATTCTCTTCGAATCGCTTCGATTGGCAAATTGAACTGACACGACTGTTCAATGATCGGTCGATCCTCTTCGTGCTTTCCAAGGAGCAGGTAATTGCCTTGCCACTCTGATTCGGCACGAGTAGCGTAAAAAGAAACACAACGTCTTTCGTGTTACTCAATCGTTTGCGTGTACGTGATTGTTGAGAATCGCTCGTCCCGACGAGAATTCTAGTCGCCGACTAAGACTAAAATTCTACCAAGGATATGATTGGAATCACTGGCAGGTGAATCGAGTAAATCAGTGTTATACGATGTGACCATTGCAACGTTCTACAAAGCAAGCTGGGGCCCCTAAGATGACCGAGCGAAGTACAAGGATGGTCGACAGGATCAGTAGGAGTGAGGGATTCGAACACGAGGTTGGGGAAACACGATTGCACATATCCTCCTCACAGAAGCACATGTGACCAGTGCCGGTACTTTCCATCATGCACACGTGGTCCACCATGAATAAGTTTATTTGTAGCTGCGAAGTGCAGGTCCGCCTCACGCTTTCATACGCTGCGAACAGAACGAAAATGTATTAATAATTGTTTGATAACACGAGATGAAAGTTTGTCCCATAAAGTGAATTTAAGGAATATGGAATTTAGAAAACAAATTTAGAAAACAAATTATATAAGTTCGTCGACTCTGTAGAAGGGAATTTGAAACAATTCGAAATAATATTTCGCAGAAGTGCACGATTAAGGAACAGATTACTTAAAACCTTCGTTTGATTCGAACCTATGCCTTGGTTGAAAATGTCGCAGCTCATAGGTATATTTAAACGAATTTCAAATGATTTCTAAATGTTTTCTAAAAATCTTGGATATCGATAATGTATTGTGGAATAAGAAAAGACAAAAGGAAGTACTTACGTGACTTTGCGTTGCGAACCATTTTCACGCAACAACCATTGCAAGTCATGAGAGGCGGTTGATCCCTCGGAAGTGCGGTATAATTGAAAGGATCTTTGCATCTGAGATCCGTCCACGAGTCGCATTCGTAGCAATAAATAGAACGAGCTGTAAAATAAAGCCACTGTCATTTGTCAATTTTTTTCAACATCGTGATAAATGTAGATGAAGATAAAAGATTAAAGCGGTTTAAGTACTGTCATGTCTAACGAAATCAATTTTCTTGAAATCTACGTTTTCGACCGTTTATAAAGAAAAGATTTCTTTATAATTGCAAATCAGATGCACTGAATAGAAATAAGGACCAGCATCAAATTAATATATGTCAATCTTACGCAACTAAATTGCCAAGGAGAAAAGAAAGAAAGAAAGAAAAAAAGGTGTAGTAAAGCGAAGAAAACAAAATTGATTCTTGAGACAAGAAGCCCTGCGGAAACAACGCTGACGGACAACGATGACAAGAAGAACACTGAAGTGAAGCTGGTTTGATCACTCACTCTGGCACTCCGCGCGACAGACGGTGGCAACCGCGAGTACAATTGCCGCTGAAACGAAACATTGGCCATTGCTTTAGATGATGAAAACGATGATTTTTAACTGCGGATGTCTACAAAATGATAATCATGAACAAAAAAAATAAAAGGATGCACAACACTGCTAGGTCTACCCACTATTGTTTCCTACTGCTACTACCTTTGCGCTATTTACAATGATTATCCACCGTTATGGTTGCATTCTAATTTCACTCACGACTACGAACATGTTAGAACTACCTTGATATCTAAATATTTTGTTACTCACGCGATCAACGATCATTAAAACAGTTAAGTTTCTTCTCTAGTCAACGATAATTTCTCGATAAAATTCTGATTAAAATATCTAGATATCTCGATAGTCGAAATTTCGATCGAAGTAGCACAAGGATAATACTGATATAATTGTGATTAAAGTCCAAAATACGTGTACTCCGGTGCTATTCTTTGAGTAAATGTTATTCCCTGTCAAATATCGTGATTGTAAGAGATAGATTTGGGGATGTGAAATGTATGATCGTTAATTTGGAAATACATGATCGCTAAGCTCGATCGCATACTCGTGGAAGTAGAATAGGTCAATAGTTTGCGACTTACGTGTCACTTTCTTGGTTCCTCATGTTATAACAATGATACAAATGGATCCGATTTCAGGTGAACAGAATACGTTTTTCAAATGATGAAATTCATGTACGAAATGCTAAAATTCGTATACACGATTCTATGCAAAGTTTCAATTTTATAAAAATGTTAAAATATCAACAAAATCGTAAATGCACTTCTCATTCTAGTTTCATACCTTCCATTATATACAGGGTAATTTAGTCGTAGCATGTATGGAAAGTATGTGATTAATGACAATAACCATCGAATCGAAACTTCTATCGTTTTTTTTTTTTTTTTTTTTTTTTTTTTACCAATTATAGAAACTATCTGGTACGTACCTCGTGCACAGGGGCAGTGATCGTACGCGTGAATACTAGTTTAATTAATACTAAAACATCTCGTATAGTAATAATCTACGAAAACAATAACATGAAACGAGGTAATCATTGTACATCGTCGACGATAAATACAGTCTTCGAACAACAATTTTGCTAACCAAATCCACTGACATGAAAATTCTATTCAATTCGATCAACAATTGACAAATATTCTACAATGTTTAAATATCTTAAATCCACGGAACAGTAACGTAGAATTAACATGTAGATTCAACGATAAAAATTTATATTATATTTTATATAAAATTTGCATAAGATTCAGAAAATGTTTCGAAACTCGATGAAAACAGAATGCTCATAGTAATAGAAATCGATGTATGGCTACATCGGAGTGGAAGAAATTGAGACACTTTTATCGACGACGACGGACCGTGTATGTCCACCCTTAAGTACGCTAATCGCAAGCTCGACTTTCGTCGCTACGTTTTTCTTCCGTCTTTCGTCACCTACACACTCACCCCGAGCAGTGCGCTTGATCACCTCCAAAACAATCGATAAAGCACGTTCCATTCTAACTATTCAGGCACAGTTATTGTTTCAAGGGAGAAAAAGTTCTAGCAGACTCTCGAACGGTGTAAAGCGATTAAACGACACTGTATAAGAACATGTCGCGAATTTTCTCTTGTTCTATCCTTCATTTTCTCTTACGATACGAGTTGTAACAACTCATCGAATTATAAATGGAGAAATATGTATATTCTACATTAAAATATTGAGTATGCTGTATAATTATATATATATATATTTTTTTTATATATTCACATTTAATATTTGCGATACGAACCGTCCACGTCGTCGGTGTAATTTTCTAAATAACAATTGATTTACTAAAGTTAAATGTTGTTTGTACGATTAGATGTTTTACAGACATTACAGAGACAAGGTATAGCCTGCTGCAATTACTGCTTCGCAATATGAATTAAACAAAGACAAACTTACTAGCAATCGCGATCAGTTAATGCAGTTAATAATGTTACGATACAACGAATGTACAATTACGAAATGCTATTGTTAAAATGTCCATGTTTGTTTCAAGTGTTAGGTGTACATCCAACATAGGTAGAACAGAAAAATATTCTCCTTAGAAAATCAAAGAAGGACAATAAATTTATAAAAGATAATAACTATAACAGGGAATTACATTAAATGTAGATTTGAAAGACACATTTAACAATCACTAGTTATATGAAAAAAAAAAAAAATATATAACAAATCGTAGTGCATCTTTCCTCGGGTTTTTCAATGTTTCTGTGCTTATATATATATATATATATATATGTATTTATATAACGTGCCTGAGTTTTC